GGACACAAACTATTCAACACACAAACTCTTTCAACCCCTTGTGCGACTGCACTCGCAAAAATTCCTTCCAATAAATTGTAAGATGTGGTTTTACCGTGTAGACACGCCATGACTGATGTGGAACAAATACAGAACTATGCCTGCTACAAAACACTTGTAGATTTTATACAGACACTTGCATAAAAGTTCATAGTGAGCCAAGATTAATCCCTATTGTATCACACACGTGAGGAAGACGCTAAAAAATGCCTAGTCAGCAAATTTTGCCCGATCTTGTTTAAACCTGCCCGCGTGACGTCATTGCATATAAGTATGACGTATGTTAATGATGATGCGCCGCCCCAGGCCGCCCCACGCCGCCCCGCGCCGCCCCAAAAATAAGGCTCGAACGGCCCCTATATTACTACTGAAATTCACCGTAGACACAGGATCCACTATTAATGTCATCGACCAGTCTACCCTCAAGCAACTGGGACCAATCACACTTCGCAAGACCCGTATCAAGGCTTATCCATTCAATGGAACAGTGCCAGTCAAAATGAAAGGCAAGTTTCAAACCACTGTCGAATCGCGGAAGAAGATCACTGTGGCAACCATTTATGTGACAGAAGCTGACGGGGGGTGTCTCCTTAGTGCAAATACGGCCGAAGACTTGGGGCTTATCACAGTACATTTGAACCAAGTTAAAACTACAAAACCCAACAGCAAACAGCACAACAAGTGAATATTCCAGACAAAGGTGTACAGCATATTGTAAACAATCATTCCAGTGTTTTTCAAAGACAAGGCAAATTACAAAACAAACAAATCGAGCTAATTATCGACGAAACCGTGAAGCCAGTGGCTCAAAAGCAACGTCGAATACCATTTTACTTGCGCGAAAAAGTAGAACGTGAGCTGTCCAAATCAGAACATGATGATATCATTGAACCGGTACCCGACACCGAAGAAACAGACTGGATTTCTCCTCTGGTTATTGTCCCTAAGAAAGACGATAATATACGTTTATTTGTTGACATGCGAGCAGCGAACAATGCAATCAAACGTGTTCGGCACCCAATTCCAACCGTCAAGGACGTTTCGTTAGAACTAAACGGTGCTAGGTTTTTCACAAAACTGGACTTGACTCAAGCGTACCATCAGCTAGAATTATCTCCAAGTAGTAGACACATCAGAACATTTGTCACACATACTGGTGCATATAGATTCAAGCGACTTAATTACGGAACTAACTCGGCGGCAGAGATATTTCAACGTACGTTGCAGCAAGTATTACAAGGCATCAAGGGCGTACGGAATATCGCAGACGACATTCTTATATTTGGAAGCACTTATAAAGAGCATAACACATCCTTGGAAGAATGCCTACAACGATTGGAGGCCAATGGACTAACCTTGAATTTGGGTAAGTGCCTGTTTTTGAAACAGAACCTTGATTTTTTTGGTCTGGTGTGTTCTAAGGACGGTGTTAGCCAAGACCCAAAGCAAATATCAGCCCTTGCAAACACTACCACTCCAACAACCCCAAGTGAATTCCGTAGCTTACTTGGGCTGGCAAACTTTAGTGCACAATTTATACCTAATTTTGCCACGATCACAGAACCACTTTGTATGCTTACGCACAAAAACATCCCATTTACATGGGGGGACGAACAAGAGAATGCATACCAAACACTAAAAACTGCCTTGATAAGTAAACCTGTGATTAGCTATTTTGATCCAGGCAAAGAAATTGTCATATTAGTTGATGCAAGTCCAGTGGGACTATGTGCAATTCTAGCACAACGAGCCAAAGGTTCCACAAAAACACACACAATCTCCTATGGTAGTCGAGCACTCACATCAACTGAGAAACGCTATTCTCAGACCGAGAAGGAAGCTCTTGCGATTGTTTGGGGTATAGAGCACTTCCATCTGTACCTGTATGGGGCCTCATTTACACTACACACAGATCACAAACCGCTTGAACTCATTTATGCAAATCCCTTGTCAAAACCCCCAGCTAGGATCGAAAGATGGATCCTGCGGTTGCAGCAATATGATTTTAAAGTGGTGTACAAAGCGGGGAAAGACAACCCTGCAGATTTTTTGTCACGTCATAAGCAAAGGAAAGCAACCTAGCGGATGAATATGTTAACTTTGTAACTGTTGCAGCAGTTCCCAGTGCACTCACTCTTAGCGACATCAGTAAGGCTACACGTGAGGATAAGGATCTCTGTACTTTAAGAGAGGCGGTTGAAACAGGACACTGGGTGAACAATAGTCAGCTAGAACCATATAAGTATATTAAAGATGAAATCACAGTTGACTCTCATAACAATGTATTACTACGGGGCACACGAATACTAGTTTCCTCATCTCTTCGACAACAAGTCATTAACGTTGCGCATGAGGGTCACCAGGGCCAAGCCAAACCAAAGCGCTGCTGCGAGAATCAGTATGGTTTCCCGGGATGGACAAGGCAGTAAAAGAAACAGTAGACGGCTGTTTGGCATGCCAGGCAAACTTACACATTAACCCACCAGAACCCATACAGTCACCACCCATGCCCGATCGTCCATGGGAGAAAGTTAAAGTTGATTTTTATGGGCCTCTCCCATCGGGACACTATGTGCTGGTAGTAAACTAGTAATTGACTGTTATTCACGATTTCCAGAAGTAGAAACTCTGAAGTCCATTTCAGCTAAGAAGGTTATTCCTAAATTGGATTCTATATTTGCGAGGCACGGTATCCCTGCTCAGCTCATTTCTGATAATGGACCACCATTCCAGGGGCATGAATTTAACCAATACATGACTGCCATGGGTATAGAACATTGCACATCCACACCATTATGGCCGCAAGGAAATGCAGAGGCTGAAGCATTCATGAAGCCTCTTGGCAAATGTATCAGGTCTGCACACTTGCAAAAGCGACCATGGCAGCAGGAACTCTCAAAGTTCTTACTGACCTATCGGCAAACCCCGCACTCTACAACCAAAGTTCCCCCAGCACAACTTTTGTTCAACCGCAACATTCAAGGGAAATTGCCAACAATTACACCAACCCTAATAGTCCACAGACACAGCGAAGCACAGGCAAACCAAGGACAACAGAGAGATAAGGCAAAGCAATATGCAGATAATAGCCGACATGCTCGACCAAGCAACATTAATTAAATTAAGGTTGGTGACCAGGTTTTGGTGAAGCAGCGAAAGCACAATAAGTTATCAACTAACTTTTCTCCCCAACCACATACGGTGACGGCCATTAAGGGTTCCAAGGTTGTAGCAGAAAATAAAGACCATCGGATCACCCGAAATTCTTCATTTTTTAGGAAATTTCGTAAGGAAAAGCGGATGGCAGAAGAAGAAGATGACGAAATGCCGGTAGCTTGAACAACAGGAGGTGAAGTAGAAAATGCCGGGGAGATACAGCAAGAGGAACAACATGATGGTTTGAGAAGATCAACAAGAAACTGCATGCCTATTGAACATCATGCGTCGCCTGTACATTCGTCAATAATAACTTGACAATATTATCAATATTATGAAACTTTAGATATCGGACAGGAGATCAGTTTTTAGATTGTGACCGAGGTAGTTTGTACTGAATATTATAGTTATACAATAAAAGCATAAAACACAACAAGTATATCGAAGAACAGTCGGACAGTGACGACACTAGTGCATGATAGACAGTGATCAATAGTTACGATCACGACAACCTTATTGTATCCTATAGTTATATGCGCATACTTGATATTGAACAGACGTTCACAGACTTAAATTATATTCATGTTAACTTTATTTCGAATGCATTGCATTCGGGAGGGGGATGTTAAGGAACGAATCGTTCCCTGTAATATAAAGTAAAAACATATACAACCGCTGCGCTTGCGTAATGCGGGCGTCTTTAGTGTTGATTTTAAGACAGCGTGTTTTGTATTTTTTTAAATCGGGATAGAAATCATAGAATAAAGAGTTATTTGACACTTATACAGACTTTTAACGACCGTTCTAACAAACGAGAACAATGATAAATTAATTCGCGGCACATTTTGAATTTATCAATACAGTTAATCATAAAGCCACAAGCATTAGACAAGACTTCTTGCTATAAATGTAATAGCACTAAAAGGGAGGCTTATCGCGCTTGGGCGAGGAGATTTTCAAGATTTTCAAAATAATAGTTTTTAAAAAAGTTTTAAAAGAGTTTTAAAAAGCAAAAATTTTAAAAAAGTTAAAAAAGTTAAAAAATTTAAAAAGTTTAAAAAATTAGGGTTAGGGGTTAGTGGATAGGGTTGGGGTTAAGGTTAAGGTCGTGATATTCCGTGATATTCCGGCATATTCCGTGATATTCCGCCATATTCCGTGATATTCCGGCATTCCGGGTTTTCACAACGCCCGTATATACATGTATATGTATGCCTAAAACTAAATTCAAACACTCATTAATGATTCATAAGCTTATTGGCAAATCATGTCAACCATAATATGTCACGTGCAGTGGCTTTAAACCTGATAAAACACTCCTAATTAGTATTCTTTATATAAAGAATACTAATAAGGCAGTATCTATTGTAGTCGTGTCCTCATTAGTATTCTTGATATAAAGAATACTAATAAGGCAGTTTAACTATTGAATTTGTAGTCGTGTTTGAAGCCGTTTAATAAACTCGCAGGTCGTGTTTTATTAGGTCTAAAGCCACTCGCGCTGCGCGCTCGTGTCTTTAAACCTAATAAAACACTCCTGCTTGTTTATTAAACAGTACATAACACATCCCACATCTGTGTAAAACGTCGGTAGTTTTGACTCAATTTATAGCCATTTGCCAAACAATAACCTATACAGAGTGTATCAAAAAAAGGTAATCGAACTTCAGCGCGCTATCATGTACGTGAATTACTCGACGTATGAACAATTCTTTTCATAATCGGAAAGATCGAGCTTTTAGCTGTTCAATGACATGTTTTTTATGCCCTGTTTTTAAAACGTTTCGTGTTACATTTGTATAAAGTAAGATCGTTCTTTTTCGAAGACATAGTCCATTCTCATCCAGCCGTGAGTTGGGGACAAGATGAGACAATTTAGTATTGGTTTTAATAGTATCCTTAAAAAAAATTATGCAAAGTTGTTGGCGGTTGGGTATGAGACTGTTGCATCCAGTAATCTCTAGTGCTTCACTATATAATAACAATATAATATAATGAATTTGTCCCTTTACATACAAACTAATTAAACACAAATAAAGACAGATTAGACAAATCGTGACAGGGAAAAGGAACAGCACTTTCGTCCCAATACTATAGTAACCAATCATTGAGCTGCACTGCAATATTATTCAAACAAACAGTACATATTTCCTTTGGGTATTTTTGTCGCTGTTTCACTGTTTGTGTAATTTTCCACTGTCAACAAATTCCCATGAAAAGCAAATGATCCATAATTAGACTGTTAAAAGCAAATTATCCATAACTAGACCATAATTGTCCAGTCATCCATCTGTATTGACACAGGCGATCATTTTTTCCAGCACAGCTGTATTATTCACAGCGCAGCTCAATGATTGATTACCTATCCACCCAACCATACACCTATCCAACATGGACATCAACGCATCCAGACATGCGCAGAGTGTAATGGGGCAAGAGTGCTCAAACAACCACAAGGGAATTCGAGTGAGCTTTGAATTATCGCTAATAGACACGCATTTTAAAACAACTCCGCAGAGTGCTCAACAACACCGAAGTGAAGGAACGTAGGCTATATTTAACAAATAGATAAGATTTTGCCGTTGTCTGTTCGGTTATAGATACATAGTATGACGTCATAATGCGAGATACATAGATACACAGTGTGACGTCATATATATTTCTTGCTGCCTTCCTGGTTTTGGTATGATCCTAGCTCAGAACGATTGTTAATGTATAGAAATTTATCAGTCGAGTTTAAAATTGAGTGATCATCTCAACAAATAGAAACATCGCGCGTAAGTTGATCCCAAAAGAAAGAATACTCCTTGAAATAATAAAGAATGTGCGTGTCAGACTCATGGACAGCTAAGCCTAAGATTGAAAAGTCACTTTGGAAATACTGTTTGTAGCTCAGAAGCGTTTAATCGCGGATTAGATTTTGATTTCCACCAAACGTTCATTACATAATCCAAACACGCTGTATAACACAAGCAGAACACGCATGACAATTATAAGTTGTTGATGAATGGCTTTACATTTCTGTAATCAAAGTTCTTGCAGTAGCCATTTTTTTTGGTCGTTTTACTTTCATAACCGCAGTTGTTGAAATAGTAAAATCACGAGGAACAAAATAGTGGTATTTCACGCCTTTCATTAAAGCAAATATTTTTGAAAGATTTGGTAAAATATTTTACCGTACACATGCATTGGCCCATTGGGTACATATTTCGCATGCGTATTAAGCAAGCGCTATTTCAGTTCGTCAATGTCATTTTTCAATGTCTGAAGATCATCCTTAGATAAACTCGAAAATTAACTGAATTTACAAACAGTACATATTTCCTTTGGGTGTCTTTGTCGCTGTTTGTGTTATTTCGATTACTTTTTCCACTGTCAACAAATTTCCATGAAAAGCAAATTATCCATAATTGGACTGTTAAAAGCAAATTATCGATAACTAGACCGTAATTGTCCAGTCATCCATCTGTATTGACACAGGCGATTATTTTTTTTCAAGCACAGCTGTGTTATTCGCAGCACAGCTCAATGATTGATTACCTACGCACCCACCTACCCAGCGGCCCAGCTACCTTATATAAGGAGGCTAGAAGACGCTCGGATATCGATGCAGAAAATCAAAAATCACTTGTTCAAGAACTAAAGTTTGAAAGTTTTAAAGGTAAGAATAGTGAACGCTGTTGTCAAACTGTATTTTCAAACTGTGTTTTTACTACATAACAATGCATTATAGGTCGATACACCATCTCCGTGATTGATTATACGCTTATTTGAGTCAGTCAGGGTTTACGTATGTATATCATGCAGTCATTCCTCTTTTGTCCAAGGTACTGTCATGCATGTTGAATTGAATTTGAATCTAGTAAATTTGCCAATAATGTACATACCATGTATATAAACAAATATATTACAAATTACACAAGACTCTAACTCGAAGAGGTGAATACAGAACTGGTGTCTCAATTGCCTTTTTCCCCGTGCAACATATGGTATGTTGCACGGGTTATTGCTAAAGTTGGCAACTTTATATGATAGTCATGCAGCAGTAATTGTAGTCCCCATTAAGCACGCATATTAAGCTTAAATGAATTTCATTCAAACGTGACAGAAATTGTGAGAAAAAGCTACCAGGTTAAGTTGTATAAAAGATAATAAATATAAAAGTAAGCAATTTAAAAAAAATGCTTGCAGCAAAACAAATGCGAAAAATTAGTCGATGTACGCCGGGTAATCAGCGAGAACAAACGTTATAATCTTACTAACATGTTCACCTGTGATGTCTGCCATCGTGGTACCTAAAATAGTCGAGTTCAAATACAGACACAGACCCTTTTATAACAAGCGCACCTAACTAGATTGATTTTTAAATTATTAAACTTTATTTGATCAGCCTCGAAAGTGGTCTGCTGAACAGATTTTCTACAAATCGTGGTCAACACTTAAAACCCAAAAAACCTGAGTGTCTCTAAGTTGTACATGATAGGTACCTGCGGTCAGGGCCTCCCGGAGAGGGGGGGCGAATTGGGCAATCTACCCCGGATTCCTAGTTAAAGGAGTCCCAAAATTTGCAAAAAGGGTCCCCAAAAAGTATAATTGAAAAAAATTATTTGCAATGTTTTTTATATAAATAATGGTTTGAGAAAAAATTTTAAACCTCAATTTTATTTGTACTTGTCAGAAAAAAATGTGTTTTACTCGTGTTTTTACAGGTCAGGATACAGAGATTAGGAAACTAATATTAATAGCGCAGTTATCGTGATAAGATAAATAGCCTAGGTTAAATACAATATGGATAATAAACATAATATTTGATGTATAACCAGCCACTGAAAAGTTCCAATGGAAAATGGGCGGAGTGATGTGTGTATGTATGCATGTATGCAACTATTTTTTCTACGTGTAGGCTAAATATTAAGGGTCCATTTATTATATTTACAATTATTGTTATATTTTTAGTTGTACTTATTTGTATTATCGCAATAATTATTAAAATCAATATATATTTTGCTGCCGAAACAAAGAATGGACAAATCCGGAACTATTAAAATATGTACTATGTATTTGTTGTACGTTATTATTGTATATGTATATAGTTATTAAAAAACTCATTAATCATTCATGAAGAAAATTCCAAAGAAATTAATGTTTAATCAATCTTTGTAAATCGGTTTTTGTCGATTTGTCGTCATTTGCATGAACTTCAGCTATGATTTTCTCGGCTTAGACAATGTTTATTTCAAAATTACTTCGCCAATCACTATGAACTCGTAAGATGGGTCGTATTTTAAGCACGTTAAAACATTCGCATCCGATCTTTATCTGATATACAATCCGTCGCCTTCGTAGTACTTATTGATTCAAGTATACAGTAGACTACGGTTGTAAATTACCAAATACGACTACTATGAGTGAGATTTACAGTTATTGTATATATGTAACCTAAAAATTCACTAATAAAGTTTACATTATTATTATTTCTCTCAACAGAAATCCACGACGGTCATGAATAATTCTACCCTAATCTTTCTGCTCATTGTTGGATTGTGTGCATCGTGGGCAAATGGCTTTTGCATCATTTGGACCTGCGGCGCAAACAAGTATTGTTACCGGAGTCAATGTAGGCCTAAGAGCGGCAAGTTGGGGAGGTGCGTGTGGGGCCATCAGGATAACCCATGTCAAAGTGGCCTGTCTTGCAAGTGCAATCACAAGCTCTGCAATACTGCAGCAATAATTGGAGAGCTTGGAAATGGTCTTGGCGGACTGGGAATCCCGGATCTGGGCAGCGCAATATCTTCCTGTTGTCGCTGTGTTTGAAGTCAAAAAGTAACGGACGAAAGTGCCATTTACACAGTGCTGTAATTATCATTGATTTGAAATAAAATCAAAGTATCAAAAACTGTGAGCTTTGCGTTTATTTTACTTTTTAAAACATGATGTAGAACTCCATAATGCAAATGAGACTCGAACTCACTTAAGACGTTGAAAATTTCACCTAAGAAGTCAAGGTATTCACATGGTGTGTTCAGTTCATCGAGCAACCAGAAATCCGTCAAAAAAGTAAAAATCTTTGCTTTGTTATGTAGATCGCCATTTTGAAATTTTTCTTCGCCAGGGAATTTGCGCTGTATTTCCTTTTTTCTTCACTTTCTTTCCCCAAAATTGCACTGCTCTCAGCCAAACACTGACAACGCGAATGGAGGTAAGAAGCCTTCCTGCTGAAGATGAGACGGTATATGCATGAAGAACACCGCAGCAAGCAGACTATTAAACATCAAAGGCGGATGCAGCAAAACGACATGTGTTTAAAATAAATTGTTGAACTATTGAAAACAATACACAATTTTCTTCATGACTCAAAACTTCAGATCCATTTAAAACACAGTTTAACTGTACAGTGTCGCTGCACCGCAACCACGATTGACCATAGCAAAGTCGCACGCTGAGTAGCATAACGGGGACATTCAAGTAGATAATGTTTTACAGTTTCTTTTCCTTGTTTACATGCACATATAGGAGAAACTGCACAATTAATAAAAAATAAATAATCAGTAAGAGCACAACAACCTAAATGTAACCTAGCATGTAAAATAGAAGCTCGTCTGCTTAGTGAGGAATCAAAGA